AGTCAGCCCAGATTCAACCACTCAGCAATGAAACAGTGAAATCCACTCAAAAAACTCAATAGAACAGTAAACCAATCAACAAACTTAAACCAGCTCTTTCAATACCTAAGATCAATCCATTTCAACCTCAAAGAGAATCAGAAATTGTTTCAGTAATTGAAAACCTCAAAAATCACAGAAGAAACTGAATAGAACAGTAATTTTATGAAGTTTTCAACCATTTTTGGTTTTTCTCCATTTTCTATCTCTTAAAGTCTGACTTGAGCTTGAATAAATGGATACCTTTATAGGCAAGGCACTAGGGGAGCCTAGAGAAATCAGATTTTTCATTTTGACCCTTTTGGAATTTTGATTTTTGCTTAGAATTCCTTAGGTTAAATTCAGAAGTTCCTTTGAGTCCCTACCCCCACCTTCTAGGAAACTTCCTATTCAGTTACAAAAGATTCTTTCACCCAGACTCCCTGAACTACCCCCTAAACAACTGTTAATTACCTTCAAAAACCAAACACCGATATGGGTCAAAGTTGCCCCAGGGTCGAATTAACCCAAAACCCATCCTAATACATGAATCTGTATACTAACAACCCAAACCTACAACTTAAAAAGGAAAGTTGATTCATCAAGCCCTTTAATAAAATTAACGACTGAACTTACATAATTTCGGCCAAAACAAACTCAAACAAAACAAACTTAAATAGATATTAATCCCAATCACGCAAATGAACAACTAGAACTACTGATTTTAATCAAACTGAAATTGATTCAAACACACAAAAATACAAAAATCAAAGAAAAAGAAAACAAGAAACAGATGCGAAGAATGGAATAGAGAAAGGAATGATACTGGTCTTAGCCGGAACAAATCAACGAAGGCGACGAGCTTGGCCAGGCATCCTTGGTCTGTACCAAAAATATCGTTATCCGATTATTCCGAGCAAGCACAATCTTTTAACTGAAGTCCTGAGTCAAATCAAGTCTTGAGAGCGTAGGAATCAGAACTTTTCTTCTGATTTTCGGGTTCAAAGTTGAGGTGAAGATATGGGGATTTTGGGGCGATTGACGACGACTTAATGTTTTAGGGAGTATGGGGAGTGGACGGTGAGAATTTGGTGTGATTTGGAGCTTGACCGCCGGTGACAATGGCGGATTAGGTTTATGAGATGGAGGAGACGAAGTGCAGAGGCGTTGTGAACTGAATGGTCTCTAAGGTATCTCGGACATTCTTATGTGATTATGGTGAGGCTTTGCTGGCCGTCCGATGAAGATGAATGAAAGGCTCAGATTGATTTGTCCTCAAGAAACTCAAAATGACGTAGTATTGGCCTTATACTACGTCATTTGGATGGTCTGAGAGACTAGCTGATTTGGACCGGGTGGGGAACAATTTGGGCTTGGGTCAGCCGGTTTTAAAGGGGAAAACTAATTTGGGCTTGGGTGAATTCGAATTTTGGCCCAGCATCTGACCTCGTCTATTCCTTTTTTCTTTCAAATTAATTCTTTTTATTCTTTTTATAAAATTAAATTAAAATCTAAATTAAATCCTAGAACCTGAAAAACACTAATTAAACCTAAATAAAAATTATCACAATTAATTAAAAACAAATTAGAAGAGGACTACTCAAAATCAAAGTTAAAATTAAAGAGTGCAAATTAAACTATTTTTGTGATTTTCCTTTTTTATAAAATTACTAATTAATTCTTAAAAATGCAAAGTTAAATCCTAAATGCATATGCAACATATTTTTTGTATTTTTCATTAATTAAATAAAATAAACATGCACAGACAAATGCCAACAATTGACAGAAAATGCCACAAAAATCCACAAAATTGCAAACAATGGGAAAAATTATTTTGTTTTGAACTTGTGGGAGTAATTCATATAGGGAAAAAATCACTTCCTCACATCGGGGAAGGGGACATTTTCATCACCCATTAAACCAACGGTTGGGGCAGCAACAAACCTGGCGTACCAGCCACGGTCTCTATCATCTTCTGGACTAACCAGAACCCTTTTGCTCCTAGCTACTAAAGTAAAAATGCCTTGGCGGAAAAGTTTGGGAGAGTAAAGGTGGATTAAATGAGCAAAAGTGAAAGGCACACCGGCCATGTTTGTCAAATGCCTCAAATAGGCAACAACCCTCCACACTATAGGGCCAATTTGACCTAAGCAAACATCGAAAAAATGACAGAATTCGAGAATAACAGGATCAATAGCAGTTTGAATCCTAATGTGAAAGGGTATGTATAAACAAAGGAAAATTCAATTAAATAAGAGGTGATTCTTTGATTCGCGTTGAGTATTATGATAGGGAAGTCATGACTCCAGTAACAGTCTTTACGAACTAAAGAAATCAGACCCTCTGTGATGTGAGTTGGATAGATATCAGCACGATCTAAAGAGGATACTTGATTCCTAAGGGACTCCCTATCATTGTAAAAAAATAGTTCCGCGGGAACTATTTCTTCTACTATAGGTTCACGAACAGGTTCAGCGGGTTCCTTACCCCTGGAAGAAGATCTTTGTGAGAAAGAACCTCTGGTTCTAAAGGAAGGACTGGAACTAGATGAAGGAAGAGAAGAACCACGTACAGAAGAAGACCCTAAATTACGAAGTCTACCTCCTCTTCTACTCCTGCTAGGGGCAAGAGGGAAGTTATCAACTATGTGGACTCTTCTAGGGTTAGAGTTGGTGAAGACATGATAGTACGAGGAAGAAGCAAATAAAAATTCAAGAATTGAATATTCAGAGAACTTTATGTGATAAGTATAAAGACGAAAACTATGTTTATACTAGGAAGCAGCCGTCAAAGGAAAATGTGCAATGATGGAAAAATCATAATGAGAATTGTCGCCTCGTGATTAGTGAAGCTATAAAAAAGCCCTAAAAAGTGTTGCAAAGTTGCAGACAAAGTTGCAAAGCCAATAAAAAGGTGCCACGTGTGATAAGCATTAAATGGAAGTGACAATTGAAGCATCGATTTTACCGTAGCATTAATAGCGGCAACATTCCCGCTTTAATAAAATCTACTTCCCAAATATTCAATTGATGAATAAATGGTAAGTGGGGGGACTATCTGTATTGGAAAAATCGAGTTTACATATTGAGGTGATTGGAAGATAACGTGTCATAACACGAAGGTTGGTCAAATAGTGATGATTGACAAAGATGCACGAGTTGCAATTGATACGAGCAGAAGGTACAAATAGAGGCACGAGCAGCTATTCAAAAGACTCAACGCTCATACCTATTTATACTAAAAAATCAAGGAGAATAAATCTGACAGCATAAGAGAGTACAAATACAGTATTTAATAAGCAGTAAATACTAAAAACGTTAGAGAATCTGTATTAAATTATAATGATTATGTAACGTAGCATTTAATGTCTTTAATTGTCTATAATGGCCTAATTATAACAAAGGCAAAACGTATATCTTTAAGATAGCTATAAAAAGGGAGAGAATGGATCATTTGTAAGGACACGAAAGATCATCTAAATACACTGGATTACTTTGTTTTCTTATGCTTATCTGATTGTTAGCAAAAATTATTTCCTTTTACTCATTTTTGATTACCAGTAACCCGAGCTCTTCTAAATTAGAGTTTTGACTGAAATTTCACTCTTTGGTTAAACACTAATATTTAGTATTTTGAAGTCAACTAAAACTTTACTTACCAAAGTTTCCTTTTTTGAACGACTATACATGAAATCCTATTATTTAGGACATCAAAATTAATTAAATTTACCTTATATATTACTATGATATTGTAATATCAAAAATATAAATATTACGTAGTATATTTCCTAAGATTTGCATATAATGTAATGGAATTAGGACATCAAAATTAATTAAATTTACCTTATATATTACTATGATATTGTAATATCAAAAATATAAATATTACGTAGTATATTTCCTAAGATTTGCATATAATGTAATGGAATTAGGACATCAAAATTAATTAAGATATATTATATATTACTAGGATTTTGTAATATAAAAAATATAAATGTTACAAACTAATTTCCTAAGATTTGCATATAATGTAAAGGAAGGAAACAGTCAAAATTACAATAGAATAGCTTGACCATAATTTGAAAGCTAACAAAGGCAACAAAATTTTGATATTAAAATGAATAAATAATTGAGCTCTTAATTAACTGATTAGAGAAAATATTCAATTTAATTCTTTTTCAACTTCATCATATAAGTAAATTTAATTTTTAAGCTGACAGATAACTTTTGAAACAAAACTTGATAAGTATACTTCGTGTTCAAATAATCTAATTTAAGAGGAGATAAAGAGATATATTAGTGCGAGCTTAATCTTTCCACTTATTTGTATCAAGCATATGCTAATTAATCTAAAAATTAAAAGGGCAATTAATTAACTTTGGTAAGTGGGGACAAAACGAGAAATATTAATAAAGCATACGAGCATTTATGTAGCACATAATTTCTCCTTTTAAGCATGCTAAATAGGATTAGTATTTATCGTTTTTAGAATCTTACATTTTTTTTCCTGTAATTTTTTTTAATAACTCATAAACATTAGTTAATATGAATTTGAAATATTTAAAAGTTATGTACTCATGAATATAGGATACCTTAGACTAGTCCCCTTTAACATGTGAAAATGCTCATGTTTTTTTGGCTTTTTATTAACCGCTCCTAGATAGCGATAAGTTTCTACTCCTCCTGATCCCGGTTAAGAAATGGAGCTTTTCAAAAACCCACTTTACATGTAATTAATTTCACTTATTATGAACAATAATTACTTGTAATTAAGTGACATATTTAACACAATCAGTCTATAAAGTTAGAACTATATCTTTTTCCTTTTTTTGGTCACGACTCACATTTTGGTTCCATTCAAAAGAGATGGGTTCTTGTGCGTGACAGAACAAACCTTCAAAAATTTCATAGATACCCTTCTATATTCGATTATGGGCCAGTACTTGTTATTCCATACCAAAAGTTGATTAATAATGATATATACCATGTGAAAAGTTTTAGCGTCGAATTTAAGTCTTAAAACAATAGATTTGTAAACTCTTTTAGACTATCTTATATACGGATGTTGAACAGTACTATAAACTCAACATTTTGCATCAACATCAGCTGTGACTAATTTCCTAGTCATATCCCTTCGGCTTCACCATATATTATTAAAAAACCAAAATCTGAAACCAGAGAGAACATATTGCAAGAAATGGAGCTCTGGAAAAGCCAGTATTACTATATTCTAAACTATATTGTTCTGCTTAATTCTGTTTTAATATTATTAAGTTCAGTGAGTGCTCAGGTTTCACTTCCGTCCAAGCAAGATGGATTCTGGTACGTGAACAGAGTAACCAAAACAGATTCAATATTGATAGAGGCTTTCTTTGATCCAGTGTGCCCTGACAGTAGAGATTCATGGCCCCCTCTCAAGCTAGCTCTCAATCACTATGGTTCTCACGTCTCTCTCGTTGTCCATCCTTTTCCTTTACCGTAAGTTTTATATACTGATAATGTAAAGAATCTTTACGCCATGAGTTTAATTTAACCAGTTAAACTAGGTTATTATTTGTTATAGGTTACCAATGAATGCTTAATCCGGCCATACTTACAAGTGACCACTGACCATGATGTACTATGAGGCTCTATTTAAGGCTTGTATAAGGTTTTTCTTGTTACGAAAGTAATCTCTATTTCTATTGAGCCATATATGCTACACGCGAAAAGGAAAACTTGTATCCCAAAATAAGTTGAGGTCGAAATCCCATTTTTGTCGAGCAGTTTAATTTTAACCGATCTATCAGGCTAAGGGGAGAATTGCGGCTAACGCTAGGAGGTCATTTTGTCCTAGTTCGTTATTAATTCCTAGGTGTAATGTTATTGAAAATAAAGGGGGTAAAATCATGACCATCTTTTAGAGAATATGTTTTTCCCTATTGCAATTGTGTGACCACTGTATAACGTTTGAAAGTCAGATTGTTGGAGTATGTAGGACAATGGTTTTCCATTTCAGCCTTCGGAAAAAACTATAATTGACATGAGGTTGATTTATTTGGTTGTCCTTATATGCAGATACCATGACAATGCATTTATTAGCTCGCGAGCGTTGCACATTATCAATGAGTTGAATACTTCTGCCACATACAGATTACTGGAGTCTTTCTTTGGTCAACAGGTAAGAAGACTTCCTGAGGCAGAAATTATAAATCTTCAGCTGCAGTAATATTATACATGTTATTGTTTTATATGAGAAGAATATGCAACTCTGCTTTTTTAGTGCCTTGTGCCACTTTCAGTCTGAACATTTAAATTCTACTGCTTGAGGCTTGAGCATATATTTTCTCTTTCTACCCTTGTCTCTATCATGGGCTGCTTTATTCTCTTATGGAGGAATCCATGACACTGGTGTTAATAGGATCTGTTGCTAATTATGGTATTAAACATATATTTAGCCTTGGATAACTCATCTCTGGTTAAACAGGAAAAGTTTTATGGCAAAGCAACTTTCAACATGTCCAAAGCATCTGTGGTAGATAAAATCACAAAGTTTACGTCCAATGCAGTCGGGAATTCGAATTATGCTGCTATAAAAGCTGGATTTACTGACCCGAAAACTGATCAAGCAACAAGAATTTCCTTCAAGGTACATTAATTAGGTTCAATTATCACCTATATATGCCAGAGCCTATATTGTTATGTTTCAAGTTTCACCTATGCAAAACCTTAACATTGTGTATGTATATTTTTTACAGTATGGTTGTGTGAAAGGCGTATACGGGACACCATTTTTCTTTGTGAATGGGTTTCCACTGCCTGATGCTGGCTCACCACTGGATTACAAAGCATGGAGAAATATCCTTGACCCATTGGTTTCACCAGCAGGACAACTGGAGGGCTGAACCTTTGCGTTTCTTCTTGTGAATCACTGATCTTTATGTCTATGGTTGTGTCTGTACTCTCATTACCTAATGGTGCAATTTTCTAGTGTTTCATCTCCCTATACTTTGAAGTTGTCTCGAGTTCCATCTAATATAGCAACTTTTCCAATCGTGATCAGGAGGCCAATATCTGTGAATTTCTTAAGTTATAAACATCTCTTTTTTCGATTTGGAATAATGCTAACCATCAAGCTATGTTTTGTCCTCCCCCCTCCTTAATGGAATTGATTGCTTATTTGATTTATAGAACTTATCGCGTTATTCTTTGCTGGTGCTTCAGACATGTCCGTGAATATCGACTATATTTATTTTGGTCATTGAATTCCAAACTTTGTAACATTTGAAACAAACTGGCTTTACTTACTAGAATGTAACCATATAAAATGATCACCTACTATGTACGGTGGTAAAGGAAGGGGAACAAGGTCTAGAGGTTTTTCATGTATCAGTCTTGGTTGAGCTTGCTTGTTGTAGAAAGTGTGCTGATTATTTGAATTTTAAGTCAATGTGGCAGGGCAGCTTCTCCGCACAAATGCATTCTGCTGCAGCTGCTTGAGGTGAATGGCTTCTATTATACAATTGTTACCAATCGAGTCGGAAAGTCAATAACATAAGTGTGTAACTTTCTTTACATAAAACTAGACATTGCGGCCTATGTAGCTTTGCAAATGGATTGCTCTTACGAATAAATCAAAATTAAGATAATCATTTCAACCAAAGAATGAGGAACAAAGTCAATATTGTAAAATGTTAGGG